TCGCCCGCTCCCGCACCGCGCCGCCCCGCCTCGCGCCCACTCACCGGAGGCTCGACCGCCGCGTTCGCGCTCCCTCCCGCACCAAATGACGAACGTCGTCCGCCGCCCGCCGCTCCGACGGTCACTTCCGGGGTCACGCGACTTCCGCTCTCCAGGGCGGGGTCGGCCTGCGCATGCGCCTCGGCTGGCGCGGGCCGGGCGCTGCCGCCATTTTGCGTTAGGCCTCGTGGGCGCGTCCCGCGTGAGCAGTCGACGTTGCGCGGTGCTTGGACCGTCTTCAGTGCTCGGGTTTGGAGGCAAGGACGTTCCCTTCCGGCCCGCAGCGGAGTCGCAGGCACCCCTCGAGTGGCGCCTCTGCGCCCCGTCCAAGCCTGTACATTGTCACAGGGTCCCGGGTTTGGTTCCCAGATAGGGCAGCAGGGGAGCCATGTTCCCTGGTGCAACCTGGTCCATGCTTTGTACGCCCTTTCTCTGCACGTCCCATCCGGGCTGCCCTTCGGGACGTGCCCCATCTGCAGCTGTCCAGGACACACCTGTTTGGGAGGAACCGTGTCCTAGGATCCCTGATGTCTGTCCTAGGGTTGGGCTCACTGGAGACCTGGGAGTTGGTGCACATGCTCAAACCTGGGGCCATACCTAACGCTGCTTGTAGGCCTCCCCCACGTGACCACCGCCAGGCCCGATGGGAGGAGTTTGCACAGCCACCTGCCTGCAGAGACAGGCTTTTAGGACACTTATCTTTTGCAACTCCGAATTGGAGGGCTATCTGTGGATTTTTCTCAGTCGTGTTGCAGCAGGCACCCTGCGTGGAATGTGCAGACCGGAAGCAGTGTTTCACTCTGGAATGAGATGTCCCTAGGCGTCCATGCTTGAAACAGGCTGCTCTCCGATAAATCAAGGGCTTAAAAATTGTGATAATTCCATGGGGCTGGAGAGATGGCTCACCGGTTAAGAGCACTGGTTGTTCTTGCAGAAGATGCAGGTTCGAATCCCAGCATCCCATGGCAGCTAACAACTGTCCCATAACTCCAGTCCCAGGGGACCGAGAGCCTCTTCTGTCTTCCATGGGCATTGTAAGACACGGGTGCACTTACCTACATGCAGGCAATACACACATAAAACAAAAATTTTTTAAGTGTGACAATTCCAGACGTGTATTTCCTTCATAGTCTATTGCTGTGTAAAAATGAACTTTAGGGGCTGGAGAGATGGCTCAGCAGTTAAGAGCACTGGCTCTTCTTGCAGAAGACCGGGGTTTGAATCCCAGCACCCACATGGCAGCTAAAACAGTTTGTAACTCCAGTTCCAGGGGATCCAAAGCCCTCTTCTGACCTCTGTGGTTTGCACGACGGGGTGGACTTGCATACATGCACACATACACATAAAATAAAATTAAAAAAAAATGAACTTTGAAATTTAGCAGTTCCAAAAGCCTACCAAGCATTTCACAGGGTCCTGAGGATCAGGGAGTGGTTTGCTGGGGGCTCTGGGTACGGTGGGGTGTGGTTCCGTGATTTGGTTCCTGAAGCTCAGCCTCCACCTCTCCATGAACCATAGGAACACCTTGGTGATTTTCTTAAGGGCAGCTTCAGGCTGGAGGAAGCAGGCACTGTGGAACCTAAAGAATTTTCGTAGCCTAATCCCACAAGAGCCATCAACCCTGCCCTGCTCTGCAGGCCGGCCCTGCCCTGTAGCATCTGGGAGACAGCTGGGGGCTCCAGACATCAAGATTCAAAGTCAGCATTAGGCATCCAATGGCTGTGGCTGAAGAGATGGTTCACGGGTTAAGAGCACTGGCTGCTCTTGCGGAGGTCTCAGGTTTGGTTCCCAGCACCCACAAGGCAACTCATGACAGTTCAACTCCAGTCCCAGGGGATCTGATGTGCTCTTCTGACTTGTGGGCACTGCATGCATGTAGTGCACTTAAGAAACACATTTGTTTTTATTTTTGTTTTTTTGGTGGTCTTTTTGAGTCAGGGTCTCCCTGTAGCCCCAGCTGTCTTGGAACTCACTATGTAGACCAGGCTGGCCTCAAACTTACAGAGATCCGCCTGCCTCTGCCTCCCCAGCGCTGGGATAAAAGGCCTGCGCCACCACAGCTGGCTAAGAAACACAATTTTTATAGCGAGTTCCAGGTCACTTGGGGCTGCAGGGAGACCCTGTCTGAAAAAGATCAACAAAAACAAAAACCAAAAACCCCCCACAAACAACATAAAAAAGAAACACAATTTTTTTCGGTTGTTTTCAGACAGGATCCTTTTGTAGCCCCAGCTGGCCTGGACTCCATATGTAGACCAGGCTGACCTTGAACTCACATAAATCTGCCTCCTGAGTGCTGGGACTAAAGACATGTACCACCATGCCCAGCAAAACACAATTTTTAAAAATGTACTCAGTTAATCCCATCTATGAAATGAGGTCAGAAAATGCCAGTCTCATGAACCCCCACACTTGGTTATGTCTTCCTTTACTTTTATGTCTACTCTCTTGGAGAAGCCCACACCCATGCTGCTTTCCTGTGTGTCTTACTTTCTTCTCAGTGCCTCTCTTCCTCTTAACCCTTGTACTTAATACTATATCAAAATATTTTTATAGACTCCAAACTCTGCTTCATAAGAAAGTAAAAAAAAAGGGGGGGGAGGCTGGACTGATGCCCAAGAGGGTAAGAGCACTGGCTGCTCTTGCAGAGGACCCAGGTTCAATTCCCAGCACCCACATGACAGCTAACAACCATCTATAACTCTAGTTCCAGGAGATCTGAGACCCTCTTCTGACATTTGAGGCAGGCGGATCTCTGAGTTCAAGGCCATCTTGGTCTCCATTAGTGAATCCAGGTCAGCTGCGGCTACAGGGAGACCTTGCATGGTGGCGCACACCTTTAATCCCAGCACTCGGGAGGCAGAGGCAGGTGGATCTCTGTGAGTTCAAGGCCAGCCCAGTCTACATAGTGAGTTCCAGGCCAGCTGGGGCTACAGGGAGACCCTGTCTCAAAAAAGCCAAAAAAAAATTTAATTTTAAAATTAGGGGTTGGCAAGATGGCTCAGCGGTTAAGAGCACTGACGGCTCTTGTAGAGGACCCAGGTTCGACTCCCAGCACCCACATCGCAGCTAACAACCCTCTGTCACCCCAGTTCTGGGGATCTGATCCCCTTTTCTGGCCTCTGTGGGCACATTAAAAAAATAAAATATAAAAAGAAGTTAAAAAGCCGGGGGCTTGGGGGTGTAGCTCTGTGGTACAGTATTTACCTAGAACTTGCAAGCTCTGCATTGCAGAAATGAAATAAACCAAACTATCCTATATACATTGCTACTATGTGCATGCTGGGATTCAAACTCAGGTTTTCTGGAAGAGCTCTAGAACTCTAACTGCTGAGCCATCTCTCCAGCCCCATCTTTTTTTTTTTTTTTTTTTTTTGTCTTTTTGAGACAGGGTCCCCCTGTAGCCTCAGCTGGCCTGGAACTCACTATACTATGTAGACCAGGCTGGCCTCGAACTCACAGATAGGCCTGCCTCAGCCTCCCGAGTGCTGGGATTGCTCGGATTAAGGATGTACACCACCATACCTGGCCTGGTGGTATTCTTCAGGAGCTGTATTTTTTGACAGTTTCTCACTAGGCTAGGCTGGTCTGGCCAGCAAGCTCCAGGGATTCACCTGTGTCTGCCTTCCCAGTGCTGGGATGACAAGTATGTATACCAACATGCCTGGTTTTGTCTCTTATGTTCTGGGGATCTAACTTGGGTCCTCAGGCTTGCAGAGCAAGCACCTCACAAACAGCTGTTTTCCTCATCCTGGTTGTATGATATTATGAACAAGTGTCTACTGACCCCAGATAGGGAACTGACAGCAACCAATGAATTTGTTGGGGTTACTCCAGTGTGGGTGAGGAATTACTTATAGGAGCAGAAATGACTGAAGCAGCTGCATCAACAAAAGCCCAACTCAGCATGCGAGATGGTTCACAGAAGCTAGCAAGCTGGAACTTACCCCATGACTTCCAGGTAACTCAGCAGGTCAGGCAGAGTCTTTCCCAGGCAGCTAGCCGGTCCTGCCTCTTTCAGGCAGCTTGAGGTGTCCAAGACTGTCTCTTAGCAGACTTACTGTTTTGAAGCTGGGGAGGAAAGGGACTAGTGAAATTGGTCAGTTTTAGGAACTTCCTGAAGCTACTAGGCTTACTTCCTGCCTGATTTATTTTTATTTTTACATGTATAAGTGTTTGAGTGTTTTGCCTGCATGTACATGTGTACCATGTGCATTTGAGAAGAGGGCATTAGATCCCTTGGAATTGCAGCCATGGACAGATGTTAGCCACCATGTAGGTGCTGGGAATCAAACCTGGGTCTTCTCCCAGAACACCAAGTGCTCTTAACTGCTGAGCAATCTTTCCAGATCCGTATTTCCTGAGTTTTGATGAGCAGGATGGAATGTCTCACTTCCCTCTACAGCACTGTCCCTTAATGAGTTTCCTGGCAGAATGGAATGTGTTAGCTCAGAGGATACTGCTAGACTGTTCTCAGTCCTGTTTTTAAAACTTTTTTGAAGCCTGGTGAGGGGAGAGGAAGGCAAAGCTAGCTTTGAACTCAGGCTGAGGCCAGGCAGCCCTGAACTTTCAATCCTCTCGTGTAGCTACATTAAAATATATATATATTTTATTCATTATTTTTAAGTGCACCCGTGTCGTGCAGTACCAGCAGAGGACAGAAAAGGCTGTTGGATCTCCTGGAACTGGTAGCTGCCATGTGGGTGCTGGGAATCA